AGCAGACGACGAGGGGCTTATAAAAGAATCATTTGTCTCTATCTCTGACAGTCCAGACATTTTGGTTTTGGACGAGCTATCTTTTATAAGTTTCATAGAGTCTTTTAATGTTTCTGGAGATTTTGGACAAGTGATAAGATGTTGAAGCATTTTGGCAGCATTACTGAATTTGTAGACCTTATTACAAAGCTTGCAAGAAACAGACTTGTTTGGTAAAGTACGGTAGTGCTCCCATATGCGTAAATCTTTAGGTCTCCCCATTGAACCTAAAAAAATGAACGATGATTAGTTGGTCTGACGAAAATTCAACAATAGAGTGCCTATTTTTTTACAATGATTATTTCTTGTTATTTACAATAAATTTATTAAAAAAATAATAAAATAAATACAAAAAACCTTTGTAAAATTACATCTCCTCGGAGGATTAAACGCAGACGCTAGTTTATTATCGTATTGTTCTGTATTTTTCTCAGCAACTTCTTTAATTCGATTAGGTACTTACGCATATTATGTTAAAAATAAATATCTAGTACACATCTTAGGCTATCCACCATTATTATCCAATGACGACTCTCAGCTAACTATGCACTATCATCCAAAATAAACGTGTATGGAAAATTTTATCCCAGTCGGTTGAGGATTGAGGATAATTGCATCAACATACGAACATACCTACATACTTTTATTTACATAACGCAAGCTAAATAAAAGCTTGTAATAATACATCTAATTTTAAGTTAAAATTGTTAAGTGATCATGATATAATTGTATCATTCAAAAATCCACTTACCTTTAATTATTTCTTGTTAAGTATAAATATTATTTCAAATCTGCTCCCTTAATATGCACTTTTTTACTGCTTTTCCTACCTAACACGTTACCAGGAAGTCACGTTACCAGAGTCAGAGTAATAGTGAACACGTTTGACAGTGATTGTCGTCGCCTCATATTCAGCGTCGACGAATAGGGGAATCCCCAGTCATAATGTATTGCATGCGTGGCGGTCTTACTTCAAATCCATAAACAAAGAGATAATTACAGAACTCGATACTAGATGGCGCTGTTTTTGTTTGAAGAAAGTTTGCGGGCTAAAATACATAGAATTTCATCAATGACTTCCACAAAGAACAACATTTCTGTTTTTTCTAAGTCCGTATCTCTTCCGTATATTTCATAAGATATAAGCTTGGGCTACATTGTTATGCAACGTGATTTTGTCGCTGTCTTGCTAGCAGGGTTGACAGATATACGATTTAAATCGTACTCATACTATTATTTGTCTATTTTTTAATGTACGATCGTAAAGATTATGATCGTAATTCGCACAAAAACATACGACTTTTTGGTTACCTGGCAACATTTTTATTATGAAACGAACATGCTCACATCATCAGTCACATGCAACAATTTATTGGGGATTTCCCCTTCACATCTGGCAGTCCTGCTTGCTAGAATATAGGTAAGTCAGCCACAGTTACTGACGATCGATATTTAAAGGGTATTGTTTTTGTGCTAAATATTTCATAAAAACGTTATTTAATACTTTGTGGATTATTAATTTAGTTGATAATCACTGGAAGTAAAATGGATGCTAATTTGAGAGATCAAGATCTTCGTATAAAACAGTTAATAAAAGAAAATCTACGTAAGTACTCTTTTTATACCTAGGTAGGTAAGGTATAATAAACACAAAAGGTACTTAGATCGCGTGTGTTCGAAGCATTTATTCTAATAAATTTAATTTAAAATTGTAGAAAGAAAAAAATGTCTGCCAAGCCGTAGCCGAAGCCGATCTCCAAATATATTTGGCGATAGTGAGACCCAGTGTCCAGATGATTTACCCAGCGTCGTCGCAACAAAGAAAAAAACGAGGATAAAGTAAAAGAAAATTTACTGAAAGAAGAAACAAACTGTTCTAAATGCTTAATTTATGGAGAAGAGGATAAAAGAAATGAGTATTTCGGACTGTTAGTGGCTCAAGAATTTAAATATATACGGCCATGTGTGCGAACGAGGTGTTATGAAGAAATTTTAAAGTATCTACGGGAAGCAAAAGGCCAACATGTTGATCAACTGCAACATGAAAACACTGAAAATTAATTACTTTCATTTTATTATATATAGATTTTTAAAATTTCCTGAAATATTATTAGTTAACGTTTTATTTAATATTGTAGAATTGATCAATACAATTTATAAAAATAATTTATTGGTATTACTTACATATTTTCAAAAAAATACGTAAAGACCTATTTTTTTGGGTGATTATGGGAGTTTATGGGTGTTTATTGGGTTTTTACCAAAGCACCGGGTTTAAACCCGGTGCTTTGCCCATCTGTAGTTGTAACCTTTTTGTAATGTTATGGCGCAGAGAGTTATAGTCTTCTTTTTTCCATAATGTTGTTGTGGAAACTATGATTGCTTTTTTTCTGTATGATTTTGTATGTGTTTAATTGGAGATTACAAATAAACGTTTATTATTATTATTATCATCACAAACTTTTAATTTTAAGTGTACATTAATATTAATTTTAAACCTATGACATTTGACACCCATGCTTTGAATAGATTTAAATATAATTCCGCAAATTATAATATTATAAACTGTGAGCTAGAAGATATTGTATTTTAGTATAATAACTAGCGGTTTCATTTACGTAGAACATTGATTGGTCATTAACATTGGTTGAATTGGTTGTTGAAATAGCTGAACAAACATTTTATGAACTCATATATCATATTGTTCTTACAAACATTTCTACTGCTTGTCATAAGCCCATTCGATTTCTTGAATAATTTACATCATATTTTTAAAAATAAAGTAAGAGGCTAGAAGAAATAGGAAACCTACAATAATACTCATGACTATGAATTATTCAGTATTTATCATTCATAGTCTATAATTGAAAGTAAGAAATCTTATTTCCACTACATGAAATTAGGAGAAAACAGCATTAACAAAAATGACCTCCAGAGTTGTTTAAATAAAATTTAACCCTTTACGACTACAGGACCTATTAGACCCAAGAGACTAGACATTTAATTTCATAAAAGGATTTGGGTAGATTTTGGTAAACCAGTATGGAGGCCTAAGTTGTCTGTTATAGAATTTCATGCTATGCCCGTGGTGGGCATTGGGTGTTATTGACAGAGGTACAGAGATTAATTTCCGATGGTTGAACAGCGCGAAGATCCTTTAGGATAAGTTTTAAAACTGCGGGCTCATTGGAAATCCAACTCCGCATCCTCGAAAAAAACAGCAGCGCAAACGGTGACAATATCAGATGTTAATTGTGCTACTTGGTCTAAATCACACAACGATTTCATGTAGTCATCTACGTAATAATGCAATAAGCATTTGTAGCTTTAATTTACACGTGTTCATACCCATGAGTGTCCTTTTTCATGAATTATGCAATAAATAGTCTACGGCATATGCCAGAAATAACGGTCATTATCCTGAAGTCTTTTATGAGCCTGTTGTATCTCCAAAGAAACCTAAATGCAACTTCGTGTTGTTTCTTAATCTGAACTTGTGAAAACATCTCCTTAACATCGACCATCATAGCAAATCGACCTTCACGGATATACTCGTAAGGACTAATAGGAACTAATTTTCTAATAGATTTAAGTCAAAAATATTAAAATACTAGCGGCCCGTCCCGGCTTTGCACGGGTGGACAATAACTTCTCCCGTTTTCTCAACATTTCCCTTCACTGCTCTGCTCCTATTGATCGTAGCGTGATGAAAAGTATACTATAACCTGTCCAGGAGTATGAAGAATAATTGTACCAAGTTTCGTTAAAATCCGTCGCGTAGTTTTTGTTTCTATTACGAACATACAGACAGACAGGCAGAAAGACAAAAATTTTACTGATTGCATTTTTGGCATCAGTATCGATCACTAATCACCGCCTGATAGTTATTTTGGAAATATATTTCATGTACATAATTGACCTCTCTACAGATTTATTATAAGTATAGATTATATGAGATACTGTAGATATTTTTTTGTATTCTTTTTCTTCATACGCAATCTTAGTCTCATTGAATTATATACAACAAAACAGTATACTCTGTTATATGCATGGTACTGCTCATGTCTATAGGCGACGGTTACCACTTTCCATCAGGTGGGCCGTCAGCTTGTTTGCCATTCTAAGTTTTATAAAAAAAAAATTATGATCACATTTTAAACATTAAAAAAAATTTTGTTTACATAAACGTATATAAATTTAGTCTACACCTTATCAATCAGTCGAAACTCACCAAAAAAAAATTCTCGGTCTATTATAATAATAATAATAATTCTTTATTTGGAACAAAAACATTGGTTACAATATTATTAAAAAACGATGATATCCGCAGAAGTATAAAACTGTGTCGCGAATATCAACGCCCTCCTCCTCATTGCAGGATTCCAAAATAAACATTTAAAACGTATGGTAGCTAGTTACATCAACGGAGACATTTTGCCATATCTAGCAACCAACTACAATACTAATAAACTACAATAATTAAAAAAAAAAATTGACAATTTAAACACAGTAGCCTACATGTTAACTTAAAAAAAAAATTGTGTGTGTGTAAATGTGTGTGTGTGTTTGTGTGTGTTGCCTAACGGTATAAATGTGAGGAACTTGATTTTCTGCCTTCTAATTGTCTTAACGTAAATCCATATAACTCACATTAGACTCTTTGTTTTAAGACTTGAATGTCTGAATTATATATAAAAATATTAAAGATCTTTTTTGTTTTCTAATATAATGAAGCAGAAGAGTCGGTTTATTTATATGTTTTAATTCTTTGTAAACTGTCAAATGCCACTGTCCCTGTATTAATTGTTGAATAACAAGCATTATAAACAGTAACGGAATGTGGTGCAATTATCCGACTAATTTTGTTACGATCAATTACTAAATCAAATTTTAACTCCATGAATACAACCATAAATTAATCCAAAATAACATCACTAAGGTATTTTCAATGAAACATACAATACATTTTCTCTTATTTATTATAATAATGTATAACAATATTTTGACAATTAAATATTAAAATGTAAAGATTATTATATCGTAAAAAACATGTTACTTGTTCTTATTATTTCTATCTTTAGATTTTAACTTCAGAGTTTTTTTTAGATTGAAGAACTAATCACACTTTCATTATGAAATCCAAAAACCAAATTTATTTTATCGATATAATATGTGTAAAACATATTATATCGATTTATGTATTTATTTTTATTTCAGTATTAATAGTTTCTACCAATTCCAGTAACGAGTCCAACAGATATATTATTTTTAAAGAATTTCCAATTTGATATTGAAGTCTAAAAGACCTAGCCGGAGACTACTAAAGTATTAAGTACTTTAGAAAATTAAAAGTCGACTTTCATGTATCATAAAGAAGTATAAAACTTTGTAAATATTTTTAAATACTTATCCTGATTTAATATTTCACACAAAACTTAAACTAAATTAAATATTGTAACAGTTAACTTATTCATAATTTGAGATTCGAATTATAGTCGATAAAAATGCAATATTAATAAACTAAATTGTATGTTCTAGGCTCAAATTTAACGTATGTACCCCCTAGAGCTTTGATATTAAAATCATTGTGATGAAGACGAATAGGATCTGAGGTCTTCTTGCTTTTGAGTATCTTGAAGTTCGATACCAGATCAGATATTAGCACTTTGAGCTCCATCAATGCAAATCTGGAACCTAATATAGAAACATACATATTACATTATTCACAATGGAATTGTTAACTTATCAATTTACAAATTTTGGAGAGTTCACGGATCAAGTAATTTTGAACTCCATTAATGCAAATGTGAAACCTAATAGAAATATATATCAATATTATCGAAATGAAATTACTGATTTAAGTTATATACGAGCATTTTGAGGAGTTCTCATATTAAGCACTCTTGATTTTGACTTAATAACTTGATTAACTAAGAATTTCAGAAACGATCAATCTTCAAATCAGGCACTAATTTCATTTTGAGTTAAAATAATATTCTCATTAAAAAAAAAATTTAGCAACGAAACTGCATTATTATCTGGTTACATTTACAATAAACTATAATAAACATGATTTCTATAATCTGTGTTTATCGTAAAACCTCAAATAATAAAGGAACTGATCTAACTAATTACAATGCTTATTAACTTTTCTTTTTTAAATTCTTTTGTAAATTGATTCTGCAGAAAACTCTAAACTTATTACAAAATATAATTTATATTGAATTCATCTTGTTTCGGTTCTTCAAGTCTACTTCAACTTAATAAATCCTTTAAATTAAATAGATTATTTCAAATTATCGGATTATCACTAAAAACCTACACTAGATACGAATGAAAATAAACATAAAAATTACATACCAATGCAATTTCTTGGGCCATTACCAAAAGGCACGTAGGTAGTTGGTGTTATGTTAGCTTTGTTAACGTCAGAAAACCTGTCGGGATTAAATACTTCAGGCTGTGGATAGTATTTTTCGTCCATTTGTATACTATTCACCATGTTGTATACAATATCACCGGGTCTTATCTGTCAGGAGAAAAAGTCAAATATTTTAAATTTGTTTATTTCGTAGAAAGTATTTTGTAAGACTTTGATGATGATTTGATAGACCCAAATGATAATAGCATTCAAAATAATGCCAAAACTTACTTGATATGGCTTTCCTCCTTCTCTCGGTGGTGGTAGTACATATGGTTTACTGCAAACACGATCCATAAAAATAGCAATTGACCATTTCCTCAATGTTTCTGCAAGAAAGTTCTCTGTAATATTCTAAAATAATTATATAAAATAGTAATTATGCAGTTCCAAATTTTGTTTACCAGTAACTACAGCATCCAAATATTTCATCTTGCTCAAATTTTCATACGTCAAAGTTTTGTGTTCCTCCTTAAAGTTTCTGAGTTCCTGATACAACTTCTCTTGCACCTCTGGATTCAAAGCCAACTCGTGAATGCACATGGTTATTACTCCAGCTGTGCTCTCGAAACCAGCCGCAAAAAATATGAACACTTGGCTAGTTATTTCCCTTGCAGTCCATTCTAGAAAACAAATTTTTTTTAGTTATATTATATCGAACTTTTAATAGACTCACCTAATAACAAATTAAACATTACATGATAGAATCTGTACCGGAACAACATGGCAAATCATAAAATATTCATGGTTATTTGTGATAGAACGGCGGTTGAAGTTTTTTTTTTAATTAGCAACATTATTATCACTGCCGTGTTAAGACCTTTTTAAACCTTAAACTAAGAAAAATGTTTTAATTGTTCAAGTCTTAATTTTTTCTGTTTTGTGCTGCTACTTTATGTCACCTTTTTTGAACTTGCACGAAGCCTAATTTAATCCAACTGCTTGATATAATCACAAAATACTATTAGCTATTAAAATTATTGTTGTTTTTAAAAACCATTTAATTGTAACATGATTACAAATTTCATACCTCTGGTAACGTTCCGAGATTTTAAACCCTCTTCAGTTGCGGCAAAACTAGCATCATCTTTCTCATTGTCACTATCTTTCAAAGTTCCTAAATATTAAAAAAAAATTAAAAATTTAAAAGTTAAAAAGTAACATTAATTCGTCTATGCATAGCGTTTTTTGACATATCAATATGAAATTTATATCCACATGCTAATACATACCATTTTCTGTGTTTTAACAACATAATATAACGATATCTCTTATAATAATAAAGTTGATTCTAAGAATTAAATTTTAGTTTGGAAATGTCATGCAAAATATTATGGCAACATATGGCAATAGAAATATTAATACAACATTAATATTTCTATTCTATTTTCATTTTACCTTAAAGTTACTTATTAGAACAGTGAGGATTTTAGAGACTATTTAGACTTATTATTTTGATAATTATCTGCTTGATAATCTTACCTTTGGTAGCTTCCATCAACAGGTGAATCATGTCAGGTCGCACAACATTGTTCTTCTCTCTATAACTAATTGTATCTCGAACAGTGTTTTTGAAAAAGTCCATTGTCTCTTGTGAGAATAATTTGAGTCCAAATATCTGTTAATGTTATATTGAATATGCAAAATGTAACACAAAAAGTATTTTATACAATTCTGCAAAATGTTGCTATACGGCTTTTTAAATTTTAATTAAAAATGTAATGATCTTTAGAGATGTAAATATTTATTTACTTAATTACTCTTAAATTGCTGAGGGTATTTAATACACAGATATACTATAATCCTTAATTAACATAATAAACACTTTGAATGCTAATTTACGTGAGTAAAGCCATAACCTCAGGACCGTTCCTTATGGCAGTCTATAGGAGAGACTTATGTCCAGTAGTGGACGGATAACGGCTGAAATGATGAAACTAATAAATATTATATTACCTTGCCAATTATCGGACAATGATTAGATAAAAACTCTACAACCCTCTGCTTGTAGCTGAAGTTGAATAAGTTTGATCCCAGTCTAAAGAAATCGTTGTCTCTGTCCTTAAGAGAGTTGATTTGGAGACCGAAGCCGGCTGATGCTATGACGTCGACGGTATACCGACGAACAAGGTCGTCTACGTGGCTTTCATTTGAAGGATGATCTGATATGACAAAAGACATGTTTACGATATAAAATTTTGGATGTTAATGGTTTAGGTACATTCTGTTGTTGGAAATTCTTGACACTTTGTGAATTTTAATTTGTATTGGATTAGTGAAAATAATTGTACTATATATACATCCATTAATAATGTCTTAATATGATTATATAATTATTATAATGAAATAAAAATATGTGGAAGTAATATAAAGCACATAAATAGTAATCACTGCGGTATTTAAACCTCTACATTTGTTTGTATTCCATATATTAATGAAATTGAACAATGAATTTATGCTAGCAACTAGAAGTTCCGATACAATAATATAAATAAATAAATATTCATTATATTCTGGAAATATGTATTTATACTCGTAACATGCCTCTATTCAAAACATTGATGATAGCTACCATAAAAGATCTAGCTTTTTTATAGTTCAACATTTACAAATTATCAATATACAAGTTGCATAAATTTCGTGCAAGTGCTTTTGACCTAGTACAAGTATTGTCACTTGTAAATCTCTAAATTAATCTAATGAGACTATAAAAGATTATAAGAGAATAGAAAATGTTTTAATATATTTACTATTTTACAATATAATAACTTTTTAATAAATAGTAACAAATACAACGATACCTTTAATATAGTCAACAATATTCTTGCTGATTTCAGTCATGAACGGCAACATTTGTCTCATTTTGGAGCCGGTGAACGCTGGACTGAGGGTTACTCGCATATCGCGCCATCTGTCGTCTGCAATTATAAATTATAATTAGTTATTGTAAATTATTCGTTATCTACTGCTAAATATACATCTCTCTTAGATTCGCTATAAAGTACCATCCTGAAATTAAAAATTAGTTAGATTAGATTCAATTAAATTTATGTTTCATTTCAACTATAGTCTTGTTTTTGTTTGCATTAATAAACAAAAATATTAAATATCCTAAAACTTCGTACAGAACTTCTAAAGCCATTACTTTATATCATGGAAGACCCCAGAAGAGTTTCCTTCTTTGGACACTCAGGCTGTGCAATCCTTGTCGTAGTTTTTCCTAGGAACCGTATTCTTTTAAATGGACGTAATAAGGTTTCTTCAGTGATACTTTTAATATTGCAGGCATCGATAAGCCACAGCGACCGTTTACCAGCTACACCTATTTGCTACCTTTGTAATTAAAAAAAAAAAAACAACACTGTGCAACAACAACAGTCTCCAAAAGGTGGCTAGTTTCTCAAACATTTCGTTAGTTTCTAATTGTAGTAATATCTTTTTTAACATAGCTTATTTTGTGACTAATCCTTATAAAACTATATAGCTTTTTATTATAACATTTGTGCAATATACCAAACAACTGTTTTTACCTTTTTTTTGTTAAAAATATATCATAGATATATAGATATATTAAATGATTACTCTACCTTTCATCTGTATCAAACTGGTTGCAAATAAGGGCTCCATATCTTTGTCAAAGAAATCCTTGTGATTGACAAAGTGATCGAAGTCCTTAACAGTAATTGCTTTTATCAACGTTGGCTCCCTGATAAGGATTACAGGTACAGTGCCTTCGATGAATCCGACATATCTGTAAAATTAATTGCTATTATTACAATTTACAATTGTTCGTATGCACGTAACGTGCATAGATTTTTTATAACAGTTCCACGTAGGTACTCGTATGATGGTGCAGCAAATGTCCTGCAAGAGCAAGATTCGATGCACAACCCGTGAACAGGGTTTACCTGTAAGCTAGGTGAACCTAACATAATCGCTTTAGGGAAAAGAGATTGTTAGTAACGAAGTTTAAAAGTCCCAATGCTAGTAATATACCTTGTTAGGTCGCCTTCCACGCGATTCTTTCTAGAAACCATCGCAATTAAAATCATCACGATGAACCAACTGACCTGCATTTATTCTCATTTATTATCTCGCACTGATGTCCCGTCAGCGTATACCGATAGCACAGGCAGGGTTACTATTCCATTTTCACCCAATGAAAAAAAAGCATAACCGCTTAACCCCGCTATGTTGACTTACTGGTAGCTTTTCACGCGTCTTTTGAAGATCCCAATTTTTAAGTTGAAGGAAAAATGCAGGATGGAAGGTCGTTCTACGTTTTAATAGTACGACAAAAGTACGATTTGTCAAACTTAGCTGTACGGGGGAGAGACGGATTATGTCTATTACCATTTATTAGTATTATATTAGTAATGGGATCTAACTGACTTGTTGCAGCAATACACCCTATCAGGTCGATCTCCACGCGTTTCCTCTTGGAAACTATCCTGGTTAATTCTAGCGGAATTCGTCACGATGGGCTAACAGACCTGCTTTCGTCATCACCTATCATCCCTCACTGGTGCTCCGCCAGCGTATACCGATAGTGCAGGCGGGGTTACCATTCCATTATCATCCATTACGAAAAAAAAGCTTAACAACAACTTAGCTGTACGTGGTCGATTTACATGTACTATAAATTGATGTAGCCTTTGACATTTACGTGTGGTACGGTTGCAGAAAAGAGAGGAAAAGATCCAGCGAAAATTCAAAAATATTTATTACATTAACACTCAGATGACTAAATGAGCCATGATATACTAAAACAATCATCTCAAAATTCTCAAAAACCACCTACAACATCCCACCCACCCACATTACATCATGTATCAACGACAGGATTACAATACGTGTCTTTTACAATGACATTATATGTATGAAGATATGCTATATCTATATGAATACTCTATTGCTGACATACACATATGGAGTGGCATAAAGTTTTATATATATTTTTATACGACTTAGAATGGCAAACAAGCTGACGGCCCACCTGATGGAAAGTGGTAACCGTCGCCTATAGACATGAGCAGTACACACACATACTGTTTCGCCCATGATACCCCCCATGCGTTACTATTCCTGAGGATTCAGGTGTTATTCCTCTGTACCCTGTGAATTCACGCCATATCCCACCCTTCAAACCGAAATACAGCCATGCAAACACAACTGCTTCACGGTAGAAACACGAATGGGACAGAGGTACCCAAGCAATCGACTTTTGTACAAAGTCTCCCTCTGGAAGGTTATGAAATAAAAATACCTTAAACTCTGTAAACAACTTGTTTACATAGTTTAAATATGTCAACAAGTTGTTAACATATACTCGCAATATTTACATGAATTTCTTATCTCTAAAGAGAAATTATAGTTTATATTAATTATTTAAATTTATAATACAATTATTTAAATTGATATTTTAGGAATTAATGTATAGTTTAATACTATAATAATAATTTGTACGTATAATGTGCATATTAGTAAGGATTACTAACAACGTATCCATTGTTTGTTGTATTACTACTCTGTAAATTTTCAAATTTAACCTCAAAATTTTCACTTATTTAAGTTGACATAAGTGATTAATATGTGACATGAATTTCGAAAACTAAACTCTCTCTATTTTTTTTCATTGACTATTTTTTTTATATATATATTTCCAATTAGGAGAACTGACTGGACGAAATTTTTGCCTCTTTATGGGTTAAGTACATCCTAGTAAATACGTAGATTTTAAGATTTGACTATACAATAAAATGTTATAAACAAATAATCAAATATACAAAATAAAGTTCCCAAGAATGGAAACACTAACCATATGGTTGCATGATTACATTTAATTATTTTAATGCAACATGCAAATAAAAACTACATTTTCATTAAAAACTGATAATGATAGATCTCGAGGCTCTGTAATCTATTTTTTATTTAATGTGAATAACTCTAATGATTGTCTAATTTTAGTATGTTTTTGCTGCAATCAAATTTTCCATTGTTGTACAGGATGCATGCAATCAAACAATTTTAGAGTCGTATATCAATTTTGCGTAATTTTTTGATTATTTTTATCTAAACATAGAATATGAGATTGTGTTTCACAAAAAATATTACTTAAATTGTGGCAAAATTAGTTGTTTTTATTTAAAAACTAAACTACCGAAGATACATCTGTAAATATATCCTATCAGATACAAAAAATAATTTTCCAAATCTGTCTACAACTGACGGAGTTATGAGGTGCCAAACATAAAAATATAACCGAATCGAGAATATCCTTCTATCTAAAGCCGGTTGAAAACAATAATTTTAGAATATTTATTTTGTTTGTGTGTGTTAGTATTTCATGTAAAATTGGCTGAACTGGTTGTGAAAAAATTTTCACAGTGTATCATAATATGAATTAAATTAATTAAAAAAAAAATCTACAGCTATTGAAAGTTTTAAAATTTAGAACTCAAAGTGCCTCGTAACATAGGTCTTTTCAAACCCTACTGCAGGCACCAATCTCTCGCAAAAATTGGAATCGCATATTTAATTGTACCTCAAACTGTTACTTTGTACTACATTTTGTGAAGGGAATAATAAACCATTCATTCATTCATTCTTTAATTCATTAAACGATATTTTTTGCTCAAAATATTGTTATTATTACATTTATAAGCCGACAAAGTATGAGTCACAGGTTAGATGCAATCTTGCGTTGAACCTGTAGCTCACACAGATAGATTCCATATTTACTTACCATTAGATAGCTATGGAGTCAATGTATGGTGCCAATATAAAAAAAAAACAATGTTAATATGTAATAATGGATGGCGTTAACTCTACAATGAAATAAATTAATATTGTACTTAATAAACATGTTTCAATTAGTGATGTCAGTCTTTTTTGATATTTGAGTACTCTGATACCGATTAAAAAAATATAATAAACAAATACAGACTCAAGTCTGAGGACTCAGCTCTTTTTTCGAGTATATTACTCGAGTATTTCATCCGACTCGAATATTCTTTTAATTCATTTTACTTATGAATTTTAAGTCATTTGATATTTTTTCTTTGGTAATTTAAGAAAGAATTAATAAAGTAATATAATAAAATGAAACTTTCCAATAAGTACATGATCAGTATTCAAATACCGTAAGTACTCGAATACAGTATTCGAGTATTATGTATTCCGAACTTCGTATATTAAGTACTTGACAATCTATTTGGGTCTACTTCATTACTGAAGGTCTCCTTGAAAGGTGTATGTTGCTATTTGGTATCTCTCGCAAGTAACAGACGCAAATACTCGAAAATCGGCCGCGTGATCTATATTTGAGTATTATGTATTCCGAACTTCGTATACTTAGTACTTGAGTACTTGACAATCTATTTGGTATCTCTCTCTCTTCGTCTACTTCATTACTGAAGGTCGTGTCCTTGAAAGGTGTATGTTGCCTATCTTATGATATTACTCCATTTCGCACAGTCTCTCGCAGGTCAGCTGTAACAGACAGTCCTGTAACAGTGGTTACTTGGTTCGACCATCGACTAGGTGATCGGCCGCGTGATCTTTATCCCTCTATCTTGCCTACAACAATTGTCCAGATCGTCGGACTGTCAATTATTTCGTGTAAGTACGAACTATTTGGTATAAGTACCAAAAATACTCGAATACTGTATTCGAGTATTATGTATCCCGAATTCCGTGTATCGAATATTCGAGTACTTGAGTACATATTAGGTATTCAAGCTAGTACCTACGCCGATCGTCAACAATCAGCTGCCCGACCTTGAATACGGTCTAACGGAATCAGCTCCTCATGTGTGGCCTCACTTGAGCTTTATATAGTTTCAGGCGGTTTTCTGGCGTGAAATACCGTCCATCACTTAGCTTTTTATATAGCAAACTGGACTGTGGCGCTCCTGCCCACAGTCGGCACGTTACTAATTCCAATCATTGTTGTTATTGGACAGAATTAAATCTGCATGATGTAATAGTTCAAGGTGATATGGAAATTAACATAAAACTCACTAGGAATTAACTACGATCGTTTCCGAGAAGATGATAGTCGACTTAACTCTTTCATCCCCTAAATATGATGAAAGATGATTAAAGGAACAAAACAAAATACATCAGTGGAAAAAAAAAAACAAAACTCGAAACTACAAATCCTCATATATGGGAAGGGAAAAGAATTGTTCTTAATGGGGACTAGCGACCATATTACTAGCAATATACTCTATCAGGTCGACCTCCATGCGGTCCCTCACAAGAAAGGCGAGTTGGCAACCACAGTTAGGATCTGGTGATGTTTTAAGAGGGACACTGCTGTCTATCTGTCGACCATTAATTTCTCTTAGTCGCCTCTTACGACATTCACCGGAAAGGAAGGGGTTTTCTTAATAGGTGATACAGCGGCGGGACACCAATGCAGGATGATAGGTGAGGATGAAGCAGGTCAATTAGCCCATCGTGAGGAATTCAACAAGAATTGTTCACGATATCTTCTAGGAAGAACCACGTGGAGGTCGACGTAATAGGGTATATTGCTAGCAATGGGACTGTCAAACTGGTCTTTGCGCAGCCATAAAATAGACAGGTCCGCACCTTCACAATCCTCTCTTCCCTCCCAAAACAAAACAATGGATAGAGAGCTGTGTCATTCTATCCCCTGCAGAAGCTCACATTGAGCGAAGGGGATGCGCTTCGTTTGCCCTTGGTTCCACCACACAAGGTTCCCTTGCGTGTTGTAAGATAGGGGGACGGGGTTGGGGAAAGGATTTTAGGAATAGGAAAGGGATGGGTATGGGATGGGTATGGGATGGGCCTCCGGACTGTGATCGTACTAAAAGTGCAACCACTACTGAAAATTCATGTTGCAATACCATATAGACAGCGTGGCTCTACCACAAAAAAATCTATGAGCATCATCGTCTCTATGAGCTAACTGGTCTGCTTTCATCTTTACCTATCATCTCTCACTGGCGCCTCGTCAGCGTAAATAGATAGCGCGGGCAGAGATATTATTCTATTATTATCCATTAAAAAACCTTGTATATGGACAAATATGTGAGAGAGAGAGACAGAATGAATCCGGTTGCGTGCAGTTAGGCGCGACGCGATGCACATCAAATAACAAGGTATGATCCCCGCGCTGTAACGTCATTATTTTGCATCTTTCTAGAATGCCGGACCTGTATGTTATATATAAGTTTGTTTATATACTAAGTATATAAACAATCTTAGTAATTATTTTTATTGAAATAACAGTTCAATAAGTAGGTAGATAAATTTTCATCCGAAAAAAGCGATTTCCATCAACACTAAGTCAGTCCTAACACTATCCAATAAATAAGATCCCTTATAAATTAAAATTATACTAACAATCACTACGTAATTGTAACGAATCTAAAATTCGTTTTACATTGCAGAGCAAAAACTGATTTTCAAAATTTTCAAAACAAATTTTTATTCGCAGCTCTGGGTTATAAATATATAGAATATAATGTGTCTAAGAAAGATTCATTTGTAGACGACATTTCATCATCATCATCTCAGCCCTTACTTGTCCACTGCTGAACATAGGCTTCACCCTTAAACTGTCATAAAGAATCCACTGACTCCCTACATCTTATTTTCATTTAAAAGTTTCCTCTTATTGGTGCAACTAATTCATGCTCTATTCTGCATTATTTTGTCTGCATTAATTCATGCTCTATTCTGCATTATTTTGTCTGCATTAATTCATGCTCTATTCTGCATTATTTTGTCTGCATTAATTCATGCTCTATTCTGCATTGCATATTCTGCAAATATTTAAATTGCTATTAAAAATTAAATTGTTGTAAAATACAATTGTTCATTTTTAAATCATCTCGTCTCGATATTTATAACTTAAAACTCATATCTTAATACACATTATGACTATTAAGTAGAGGGCTAAATGATATGTGACCTAGCACATTTGTTTACAAACTATATGCGTTATTATAAAACGTTATACTGATAGTAAAATTACGTAAATATCTTAATAAATTGTTTATATGTAATTATGTAAAATCCATATATCTCTAAAACATTTTTTTTGCTAAATACAATTCTAATTATTACAATAAATGATTATTTTTTTTCACAATTTTCGATTGGTAAATCTAATACAATATGCACGATAATAAATTAATAATAATAATAAATCTTTTATTTTCAGGAATTTACCCATAGTTTATTGTTATTATGATAAAAATTTCCTTTTAATTAATTAATTACTATTTTTATATTATTAATTATAAAAACTATTATTATTATTTTTAAATTACATATTAATTACAAAATACTAATTTAAATCATTTCATTATAAAATCTTTTGTCACCAAGTATGCAGTGAGGAATACAGTCTTTACAATACGATTACTTATTGTCATTAATCTTTCATGAAGTTAAAGATTAAATTTGCTAACATACTTTTTTTATACCACGAATGTGGCAAACAAGCATACAGCTCTTCTGATGGTAAACGGTTACGTATGGATGCTTGCAACACTAGAAGTATCACGTGCGCGGTGCTGACCTTGAACAAATCTAATATACACTTTTTGAAAAACCCCATACTGCAGTCTCTAGGGAAAACCTCGGCAGGGAGCTCATTTCACAGCCTGAGTGTTCGCAAGAGAAAAACCCTTTGAAAACGGACTGTACGTGACGTGGAAGGTTCAAGTGGGTGAGAATGAATTCTCTATCGATGGCGAGCAGTATGATGACAAAAAGTGGCTGTGGGTATGTTTTCAAACAATTTATAAGAAAACAATCCGTTATACAAGCCGTAGAACACGCAAAGGGAAGGCGAAATATCGCCTTAGACTTAAGGGCTCGATACTACGTGTGACATAGGATCGTTGACTAATCTCGTAGTTCGTCTTTGAACGGAGAAACTTTTATATATTTTATAAAAGTTTCTCCGTTCAAAGACGAACTATAGACATGAGCAGTACCGTGGACATAACAGAGTATTCTTTTTCGCCCATGGTACCCCCCTTACGTCTCTATTCCTGAGGACTCAGGTATTATTCCTCTGTACTCTGTAAATTCACTGTCATATCCCACCCTTCCAACCGAAACACAGCCATGCAAACACAACTGCTTCACGGTAGAAACACGAATAGGACAGGGGTGCCCAAGCAAACGACTTTTATACAAAGTCTCCCTCTGGTAAAGTTTATACAATCAATAATTGATTTGTGATAGGCTAAAATAGATTATTAAAATTTACTAAGCAAGCTGTAATGCTGTAAAGCTGTAAATGGTTACAGAATTTATGACTACAAACAACAATACAGCTCGAACAACAATGAACTTTTTGAATTGTTTTTGCACGAGAATCAAGAAATGAGTACGCTGTGTAAGGGGATTTAAATAAGGGGGTTTATATAATTTTGAAGTTAGAAGTAACTACTGGCAAAACCTCCCTTATGGGGGAGGCCTATGTTCAGCAGTGGACAGTTAAAAAATTATGATGATATGAAATATGATCATACATGTACGTTTTATTACGTAATACAGAAACAACAGACAGACAAATATCTTGATATATATAATAAAATATTTCTTTCGAAATCGCCAAATATTTTTGCAATTTTAAAAATAAACAAACTGCAGAGAAATATTTTGAAATAATAAACATATATTAGTAATCGTAACAAATGTTAAATAAACATTTATTTCTAGTAATGTTTCAATTTATATATATTTATATATATATAATTTAAGACATTTATATTTTATTACATAAATTTGTAATTTTATATATTTTACTATTTTTGTTCAGTTATAATTAAACTTGGTATTAACTAAAAATAATTAATATAAAACAAGTAAAAATAATGCAACAAGTGTAACTTACTGCGAAATCGCGTCACGTCAAATTTCAAAAATAAAGTTTAAAATTCAACTATACTGTAGTTTAAATAAGAAACAATATAAAAACTTACTTTTCGTCCGGAAAAGCTCTGTAGACAGCGTCGACATCTTCCCAAAGGTGCTTCTTCAAAATGGAACTTTGAAACACATTTCCGAACATAGGAATACCGGGCACGAATTTAACATCTCTCTTTTTAAAGAAATCGTGTATTTTATAATAAAAATATAGATAATAAGCTATTAAAAATGTTAGAAGAAATATTAGCAACTCCACAAACATTGTGACGTCGTAATTCTACCGCGCGTGTGGGATCAATGGCAGCGGGAATGGGAACTGTAAACTCAGACGCAAGACCTGTCTAGCAACGAACGTTATATAGGTATTAGTATTCGATCACAGCACTAGCCTGCTTTAAATTAGCAATATACGAATTCGAATGATTTTGTTATTCGAATAATTAGTAATTGCTAATTTTATAATTCGATTATTAAATTAGTAATTACTAATTTTATAATTCGACTACAAAATTAGTAATATACTAATTTTTGTACTCGAATGATTCTACTAATTAATAATTTGATTTAAACCACTAATAACCAACGTGCACGTGACACGACACCCCTAGTGCTGCAAGCGTCTATAGGCTACAGTAACCGTTTACCATCAGACGGGCTTTATGCTTGTTTTTATTTTTTTTATACAACATAGGGGGCAAACGAGCATGCGGCTCATCTGATGGTAAGTGACTACCGCCGCCCATGGTCACCCACAACACCAATGGCATTATGCCACTTTTGTGGTATAAAAAAAATTGCTTAATGAGATAATTAGTAGTTGTATTAATTTCGGGCATTGCTACTTTAAATATATCAAAGAACTACATTGTTTTGTTTGTAATAGGGTGTCATCTTTTATACCTAATTTACTGAAATTTCTACCTTTATTAGTTCGCTATATTTTAATTCTTTATTTTTAAATAATTCGTGTTCATGTCTGCAGACTTCAGACCAGTTATCCCACCTTAAATACACCTGGAATTCAGCACGATGGTTTTCAGTAGGGACCATTTCTTTTTTATACCACTAAGGTGGCAAACAAGCATACGGCACACCTGATGGTAAGCGGTTACTATGATCTATGAACGCCTACAATACTAGGGGATTTACGCGCGCGTTGCCAACCCTAAAGAAACATCTTTACCCCCCTTTTGAAGAATCTTATGCTGTAGTATCCTGCAAATACCTCGACAAGGAGCTTATTCCATAATCTAAGCGTTGGTGGGACGAAACATCTCTAAAACCACGCTGTATGCGACTATGTAGACTCTAGGGTACGAGGATGAGCTTCCTGTCGATGGCGATGGCTGAACTATGATAGAAAGCGGCCGTGGACATCATATTGAACAATTCATCTAAACACAGTATATTATGAGTGGAGGTCGTCCTGACAGGATATATTGCTCCTCTTCTCCTCAATAAAATCTACGTAATATTTCTGTGTCGGAGGGAAAGGGATTGTTAGTAATAAAGATTGAGAATCCCATTGCTAGCAATATACCCAACCAGGTCGACCTCCTCGCGGTTCCCCCTGAATTGGGTTCCTGCGGATTGGCAGCCGCAGTTAGATGTTTTAAGAGGGACGCTGTTGCTCATCGCTCGATCATTATGTTCTCTTAGTCACCTATTACTACACCCACGGGAAATGAAGTGGTGATCCATTCTATACCAAGATCGCACTAAACTTAATTTTTTATAAGAAAATAAACTTTTTAAACCTAAGTAATAGGGGGGAAAAGGATTGTTTGTAATGGAAACTGAGAATCCCATTGCTAGTGAACCGCGAGGAGGTCGACCTGGTTGGGTATATTGCTAGCAATGGGATTCTCAGTCTCCATTACTAACAATCCCTGTCCCCCCTATATTACATATTAATAAATAGGCAATATAGACACAAATCAATTCATTGTTAGATATCTATGCTAAATCTATTAAATATTACTGATCGATTAGAGCAAAGTCAATGAATCTGACAATTGTATCTTAATTGTAAGTTGTTCATCTTGTACAGTTATGTTTCGTGCATTTAATAACATTTAATTAAGTTGTTATTTATGCCTGAGGCATTATAATCAGTAAACAAAAACTAAGACTCCAATTAGTATTGATTTTATAATCGTTTCTATTTCAAGTGTATTTTAGTATTTAATGCTATGTAAGTAATTAATAGATTTTGACGTAAATGGATTGTTAGTAAAGACACTAGGCGTAGGTTATATGGGTACCGATATATATATATATATATATATATATATATATATATATATATATATATATATATATATATATATATCCAATATAGGAATATATCCTCTCTATTTTCGAATATTTTCTTATGCAACTTAGAATGGCCAACAAGCTGTAGGCCCACCTAATGGAAAGTGGTAACCGTCGCCTAAAGACATGAGCAGTACCATAGACATAACAGAGTATACTGTTTCGGCCATGCGCATGGGGGGTATCCCCATGCGTTGCCATTCCTGTGGACTCAGGTGTTATTCCTCTGTACTCTGTAAATTCACGCCATATCCCACCCTTCAAACCGAAACACAGCCATGCAAACACAACTGCTTCACGTTAGAAACACGAATGGGACAGAGATGCCTATAGAAAACGATTTTAGTAAAAAGTCTTCCTTATGATAAAATTTCAAATATAGTTAGCTAAAGTTTCGAATAATAAAAATCTGTTATCTAATATTATTGATTAGATAATAGACTTTTAAAATATTCGTTATTGGACCAATATGTTATAATTAAAATATATAGATATAATATTTCTATATATGTCTCAACTCTAAAAACACTAGCAACCGCCATTACATGTCAAGGCGATATTCACGCTGTTCCGTGATCTGTGAATTAGTCACAATAGGCCAACTGACCTGAGTGCATCCTCACCTATCATGCTAGCCTGGTACTTCTCTAATATAAACCGATAGTATTACTTTTTTATACAACTTAGAATGATGGCAAACAAGCTGACGGCCCACCTGATGGGGGGAAAGGGATTATTAGTAATTGGGTTTAAAAACCCCATTGTTAACAATAGATCCTATCAGGTCGACTTTCACGTGGTTCCTCTTGGAAACTATTTTCAATAATTCTTCTTGAATTCGTCACGATGCACTAACTGACCTGCTTCATCCTCACCTATCATCGCTCACTGGTGCCCCGCCAGTGTATACCGATAGCGCAGACGGGGTCACCATTACATCATCAACCAGGACACTGGCCCACCTTATGGAAATTGGTAACCGTCGCCTATAGATATGAGTACTACCATGTTTTTTAAGTTAACAGTAACTACTTTTGTTAACTTATGACCTGTCAAGATACGAAACACTAACTCTAAAAATATCGTTCAGAGAAAAAAAGGTAAAAGGAGTCCAGTTGTCTCGTCCTCAGCCTATATTACTAGGATAGGAGCAATAAGGCAACGAACTCTGGAGGACAAACTAATAAAAAATACACTCAGCACTAAACATCCATTGACAGATTTTTGGAAGTTTACAATTTAATAAAGGTTATACCTTTGTACTGTGATGAGAGGCGTCACTTCTTATTTGACCTTTCTTATTGGCCTTTTCTGAGAGATACATTGTTTTCTGCTTAGAGAACTTTAACATAATACAGGCACATTGATTTCCACACTCCTTATGCCTCTGCACATACACCTGAATATAATTTTATGTCTTCCATTTTAAATATCATAAAAAAAATACTTAAATCTAGAGTTGGTCATATCTGATAGTTGTGTTTGCATGGCTGTGTTTAGGTTTGAAGAGTGGGATATGGCGTGAATTTACAGGGTACAGAGGAATAACACCTGAGTCCTCAGGAATGGCAGCACATGGAGTGAATCATGAGTGAAACAGTATACTCTGTTATGTCCATGTTACTGCTCATGCTTATAGGCGACGGTTACCACTTTCCATCAGGTGGGCCGTCAGCTTGTTTGCCATTCTAAGTTGCATAAAAAAAAACCTTGACCAATTTTTAAATTTATCGAAAGGTCGTGTGAGTTATTATTTATTGTTTAATTTTTATTATATTACTAGTTGTTTTTGGCTATTTTGATTCAATCATAGACGTAGGAAAACGTATTTACGGACTGACAAGACGTAGGAAAACGTATTTACGGACTGACAATGCAATCATAAGTACGAAACCAAAAAATATTTACATTGTAATCGAAGATTTAATTTAATTATTATTAGGCATGTATAATATTGATATTTTTTTTAATATCTATATGTTGGGTTCCTGTAGTCATTGAAGGTGAAAAAGGTCATCATTAATTTTGGTAACTCTCATACAAGTCGGATTTATTTCGATCGGGTCCTTTATTTTGATATTATATATTGGACAGTAACAAGATATTTAAAATATTCTATATTGTGCCAATATCTATTTATTTCAACTAAAATATACAGGTAATGCTTTCTGTTACCCATCCCAAATAATTATTACTATGTGTTTTTAAAAATTGGCATGACTCTATATTAAATAACCTGGAAAATGAATCTCTGCAACTAACTAGAAATATCAACATAATAATTAAATAATTAACTGAGAGTTGCTATGTATTATTATGTTCGTCTTTATGTCACATAACAAACAAAAAAAAATAGTATATTTTTTTTGTTTGTTATGTGGTCAATAAAAAATAAATTAATATTCATAGCATCATATAATTATTTATCATATGCCTTTATTAGTATTTTGGACTTAAGTACTTTAAAAATAAAAATTATGAATTCAATTAATCAATTGCATAGAAACTTTTTTTTGTTTAAAAAGATTAAAAACTCTCTCAACCAACCGTCTCCTCAACCAAGCCATACGCTTTATCTTCAACCTCCGCAAATTCGATCACATTTCTTTATATCGGTATCAGCTCAAATGGCTTTCCATTCGTCAACGCAGAAACGTTAGAACTCTTTGTACCCTTTACACTCTTCTTCGAAACCCCCAGTCTCCTAACTACTTAAGGAGTAAATTCCATTATCTTTTTGAAACTCACGAACGTAACCTTCGTTCCAATAATACTCTCCAATTATCTTTCCCCTCTCACCGTACTAGTTACGCTTCAAACTCTTTTCTCCTACATTCTTCACGACTCTGGAACGCGCTTCCTGATGCCATTAAGAGACTACCGACTAAACCATTACATTTTTACTGTGGTAGAGCCACGCTGTAATCCTATATGGTATTGCAGCATGAATGGGCCGGCTCGACCGGGGAAGTACCACACCCTCACAGAATACCGACGCTAAGTGGTTGCATTTTTAGTGCGATCACATT